TGCCTGAATCACACAACCAGTAAAAGGTATAGTTTGAATTCCTAATCAGCTCTTCTGATCCTGAAACCTGAGCCCCTTCCATAGCAATGCCAGTGATCCAAAGTTCAGCCAGCCAGATGAGAACAGATCAAGACACAGTGGCATCTATCTCTTAAGCATTTGTGAAGGACTGTGTGTTCCTGTGTTCCTTGCATGATTGACTGACTAGAGCTAAGTGTCTGGTGATGCTGACCAGTCAGTATCTCAGGAACCTAATTGCAGTGGAGTCTGCTTAATATGATTGCTACATTTTCATTTTTTCCTGGAGAAGTAACATGAATTGTTAATGGCGGGAAATTCTAACATGTTTTAGTGTTAGGTTTGCATAAAAAGATTCAGTGAGTACTTTGATTATTAACTTTGTAAGTGTGAATGCAAAGCAGTTTCAGCACATTGACATTCTTTTCAACCTAATGAGAATAGGCATTCTCTGGCATATTTCCAGTAGAAAAACTGCCTTTCAAAGGATAGGGTTCTGAAAACATCAGGATCCATGGATTAGGATTACTATAAAAATATTAAGTGTTAACATGAACTCAGAAACACTTATTACCAGTCTAGAAATTACTAGAAACTGCTTTTTGTGCTCCAACCAATGAGAATTTTAAACTTCAGTTTGTATTGTGTCAATACAATATTGGCAATATTCTGTCAAGTTCCTTTCAACAGTTATTTTAAGAAATAATAGTAAAGTTAGCAAAAACAAGTTTCTTTTTTTCTTATTAAATAGGAAAATATAAAATATTCCATCATTTTGGAAACTCATGTAAAAGCTTAATTAAAACTTTTTACCTTAAAAAAAATCTACATTCTAGTAGATAAATTTGTTAAAACTAAATTGGAAGTTTGGCCTCTAAAGGTGAAAAAGTACTAAATCAACTAGTTTCTTCTGGTTTCCATTAGTCTTATACTTGTCTTTTTTTTTTTTTTTTTTAAGATTTTATTTATTCAAGGGCACCTGGGTGGCTCAGTCGTTAACCATCTGCCTTTGGCTCAGGTCATGGTCCCAGGGTCCTGGGATTGAGCCCCGCATTGGGCTCCCTGCTTGGTGGGAAGCCTGCTTCTCCCTCTCCCACTACCCCTGCTTGTGTTCCCTCTCTCGCTGTCTCTCTCACTGTCAAATAAATGGATAAGATCTTAAAAAAAAAAAAAAAGATTTATTCATTTGACAGACAGAGAGCACAAACAGAGGGAGTGGCAGGCAGAGGGAGAAGCAGGCTTCCCACCGAGCAGGGAGCCCGAGGGTGGGGCTCGATCCCAGGACCCTGGGACCATGGCCTGAGCCGAAGGCAGACGCTTAACTGACCAAGCCACCCAGGTGCCCCCATACTTGTCTTTTTATGAAAATAGCAAGTTCTCCTAGGAAAGGATGGAAACTATTATCAGAGCCTCAAAGAAACATTCTCCACCCCACAAAGCAGATGAAAATCTGTCCATGGAGCTGAAAATCTTTTCCTTTTCCGAGTACAAAATTTCAAAATACACTTTTCTGCTCTTCCTTTTGGGAATATACAAGTGTAAAACTTTTTTCCTTATCTTTTATTCTGAAATGGTTTGCCTTTTTCCTAGGCAGTATATGAGGTTAGATTATGTAGGTGGGGTTTGTGAGTGCCATTGTGGATGTGTTTCAAGATAATAGAGAAGGGGGAACCATCTTCTGCAACCTTAAGGTTGAATCAGTACCCCTGCCCTCACCCCATTTGCCTTTAAAAAGTTATTCTCACTTTCAGTCTCTCTGGTGGTGATAACTGTTATCAGCAGTCTTTTAACTGGTATTTGGTGCATAAACTGTACTTGAGTCTCTGTTAACTCCTTGGCTCCATTTTCTGTACTTTTTTTTTTTTATGAGTGTAGTTGACACACAAGTTACATTAGCTTCAGGTGTACAACATAGTGATTCAACAAGTTTATATATTATGCTGTGCTGACCACAAGGGTAGCTACCATCTGTCACCATACAAGCTATTACAATATCATTGACTGTATTCCTTATGTTGTGCATTTTATTCCCATGACTTATTCATTCCATAACTGGAAGCCTGTATCTCCCACTCTCCTTCTCCCATTTTCCCCATCCTCCCACTCTCCTCCCTTCTGGCAACCGTCAGTTTGGTCTCTGTGTTTATAGGTCTGATTCTGCTTTTGTTTGTTTGTTTATATTCATTTGGATTTTTTTTCAGATTCCACATATGAGTGAAATCATATGGTATTTGTCTTTCTCAGTCTGATTTATTTCATTTAGCATAATATCCTCTAGGGCTATCCATGTTGTCACAAATGGCATGATCTCATCCTTTTTTATGGCTATATAATATTCCAGACACACACACACACACACACACACACACACACACACACACACACACACACATTGTCCTTATCCATTTGTCTATCGACGGACTCTTAGGCTGCTTCCGTATCTTGGCAATTATAAATCATGCTGCAGTAATCATAGCGGTGCATATATCCTTTCAAATTAGTGTTTTTGTTTTCTTTGGGTAAATATCCAGTGGTAGAATTATTGGATCATACAGTATTTCTGTTTTTAATTTTTGAGGAACCTCCATGCTGTTTTCCACAGTGGCTGCACCAATTCACATTTCCACTGACAGTGCACAAGAGTTCCTTTTTCTCCACTGCTCACCAACACTTGTTGTTTGTTGTGTTCTTGATTTTAGCCATTCTGACAGGTGTAAGGTGATATCTCATTGTGGATTTGATTTGCAGTTCCTTGATGATGAGTGATGGTGAGCATCTTTTCATGTGTCTGTTGGCCATCCATATGTCTTCTTTGGAAAAATTCTATTCAGGTCCTCTGTCTATTTCTGTACTTATTTTTAAAGACCAACATTCACTTACTTGAGACTTTCTAAAAGCAGCCTTTGAAAGAGGCTATAGTAGCAAACAATTAAGACCATATTTAACTGTTCAATAAATTTTTTCTTAATTATTAAGGGCAAAGTGGGAAAAGTTAGGACTGCTTGGAACCTGAAAAATACATATATTAAAAGGGACCAAAGGTTTTAAATCTCAGAAGACTATAAATAGTAATAGTAATAACAATAATGGGGCATCTGTATAGAATTGTTAACACTTGAAGAATCTCAACAGAGGTATATATATGGAATTTTAGTGTACTAATCTTGCTACTTTTCAGTAGGTTTGGTATTTTTTTCAAAACAAAAAGCTACCAGTGTATTTAATTTTACTACACTCACACAAAAAGATTTTTTAAAAGGTTACCAAAAATACTCTCAAATGACCAACAATCTTTTTCTCGGTTACTGATGAAGAATGACTTTGGTATTAATGTGCCTGTCCCTCATGTTTCTGTTCCTCCTCCCCTGAAGTCCAGCATTAATTGCATTTTCATAAAGACTGCATTCAACAAGGCAGTGAGCTGTGCCGGCGTGTTCAGTCTTCCCACAAATCGTCCCTACAGCTTTGTTCACGTGCAGCTCTCTTGGCCACATTGAAGTTGTCCAATTTCTTTCTCTCAACTTTGAAGTGTCTTTTCCATTAAGAGGTCAGATTTGGGTTAATTATCCCAAATGCACAGTCTTTTGTAGAATCTTTTTTCCACTTTTCGAAACCGTTGAGTTATGACCCTAATTGTGTGGTTGCAGTTTTGTACTGTGTTAAAGGCTCACAGTATATGAAAAGTGATCCCCAAAAAGAAGAGATATTAGCAATAAGAAATGTCTCTGACACCTGACATAGAGCCTGACATATAATTAGTGCCCCATGACTATTTATTGAACCAATGATGGATGTGTCAATGGCTAACATTAATTACTTACAACCTATCACGTCCTTGGACTAAGGACTTGCTCTGTATTCTTCATGAATCCTCACAACAGCGTTGTATGAGCTGTGTACTTCAGCATACCTATTGTCAGTGTATCCCAGCTCTCCTGTGTCAGTCCCCCAAGAGAGGTCCCCATCAAGTGGGTCATGATCGACCAGTTACTGCTTTGGATTTTTGCTGCCCGGGCATTTTGCATTATCTGGAGAATGCTTTATATATAGTGTACCCCAACACTCATTTAACTAATAAAATAATAGAAGAGATCATAGGTACATAAAATCAGAAATAGATATCCAAACAGTAGTTTCTGTATGACTTTGGAATATGTCGTATAAATTTCTCAATGCAAATTGACTTTTGTTTTCTCCTAACAATTGAGGATCTTTAGAGACATGATTTAGATGCTTTTGTCTTTGGATTCAAGAAAACCCTAAAAGTATCCTTTTAGACATTATAAACACATACATACACACACATATTTGATATTTTGTGTTCTATGTTTTATACACTATTATACATTTGTATTTTTGTATATGTGATGTATGGCATTGACATTTTAGAAATACAATATATTATATTTTGGGAATATGATATATTGTACTTCATCTCATACTGTTTTTCTCCAGTAAGTCATGAGGGAAAAACTTTTGTCTGGTTCACCAGTATAACTTTGCATCTAGAAATATGCCTGGCATGTAATAGGCACTTAATAAATGTTGTAATTAAAAAGCAAATGCTTTGGGGGGTGCCTAGGTGGCTCAGTCACTTAAGCATCTGCCTTCGGCTCGGGTCATAATCCCACGGTCCTGGGATCAGCCCCATGTCGGGCTCCCTGCTCAGCAGGTAGTCTGCTTCTTGCTTTTCCTCTGCCTCTCCCCTTGCTCATGCTCGCTCTCTCAAATAAATAAATTCTTAAAAAAAAAATAAATGCTTTGTACAGCATGGTGACTATAGTTAACAAAAAAAGTGAATGCTTTTCAATAAGAGGCTTACTGGGCCTAATTTTATTTGTAGGTTAGTGAGTGTTCTTGTTTTTAGTGAGTGTTCTTGTTTATTTTTGTTGTTGTTCTTATTCTAGTTTAATTTAAATAGTCCTACTAATATTTAGTGATTGGAAAACTAGGTCTTAGTTTTGATTTCTCCTTTTTTTTAGGAAGAATCCCCAGCACAAGATAGAATACAGACATAGTGTACTTCCAGGTAAGTAATTTTACTTCAGGAAACAAAATGAAATCTTCAAATGATTCTCTTGTTAAACCTTTCCAGTTATGTGAACTTTTTTATCTCTGCTTCTATGAATTTGCTGATTTTAATGATTTTTCTTAGATTAAAAAGAGTGATAAATTTTTTATACACCAAATGTTTTCTACCATCATTGCACAACAATTTATATTTATCCTTATATCTTTTAGAATTCTCTCTCATTGGCCAGTATCTGAAAACAAAATCTCAAACTAGCCTAAGAGATAATGAGAACTTATTGACTTCTTTAAGTGAAAAATCCGAAGTGTGGATGGATTTAAACAAATTTACTGCTTTGGCTCATTAGTAATGTCAGTAATGCCACCAATGACCCAATTTCCTTTTATCATTCTGTCTTTAGAGGGGGTCATTATCATCCTAAGACTGGCTCTTCCCTCCACAAAGGGACTATATGAATTACTAGGACCACTGATGAGTTTGTACCACCCCTGGAACTAGGGTAGGGTCTCCTTCTTCAGAACCACAGAGATCCCTGACAGAAACTAAAGTTTTGGGGGAAAGAGAGCAAGGGAGGACAGACACCAGAGAAGCAACCATTAAATGTCCTTCAGTCCTAGGTGCAGGCATCCATTCTACCTTCTCTTCTCCCAGTTCCAAACTCAAATACTTTTTACCCTTAACAAATTTTGGCTTCTTCATATCATTTATATAATGCAGAGGCGAATTTGGCACACAATATTTCTGCCCACAGAATGAGAGAAGAAAATGCATATTCTGCAGGCTATGACCCCATTGCACATGTATGTGCATAAACACAGCCCCCTTGTAACCAAGTGATAAAAATAAGGAATTTCACCATAAGAGAATTCCATTTGAAATTTCTCATTGAAACACACTTTTCGTGCTTTAACACAACTCATTTTATCTGAGCTAATAGGTTATAGTTGTTATATGTTATGTATTATACTTTTTTTTCCTGGGGCTGTATCTAATGATGTAGCATTTCTGGTGGTTAAATAAACTTTCTTACCAGTAGTCATGTAATGTATGTTGATTAAAGCATATTTTATTGGCAAGGTTTAACACTGTCCCATGATAATGCATTTGACACATCTGTATCTTTATAGAAATAAGAACCATTTTCCTAGGGGCACCTGGGTGGCTCACTCAGTTAAGCGCCTTCAGCTCAGGTCATGGTCCCGGGTCCTGGGATCCAGCCCCGCATTGGGCTCCCTGCTTGGCGGGGAGCCTGCTTCTCCCTCTCCCTCTACTGTTCCCCCTACTTGTGGTCTCTCGCTCTATCAAATAAATAAAATCTTTAAAAAAAAAAAAAAGAACCATTTTCCTAAAAAACTATCAGTGTGCATCAGATGGCATAGTTTAATCTGAGTTTTCTTTGAAAAGTCTCTGAATTATCATTAGGGAATCTTCTGAAGGAAAAACATATTTTTACAACAACTGACTTTTTTTAACAGAAGCTTTTCATTTCATTGGAAAGCTAGTTTTTATAAAAGTGTAGATATTTTTAAGCAACATTTAATTTAATTTTTTGAAAAATATTTTATTTATTTATTTGTCAGAGAGAGAGGCAGAGAGAGAGAGCACACACCATTGGGGGGGGGGAGCGGCGGGCAGAGGGAGAAGCAGACTCCCTGCTGAGCAGGGAGCCCGATGCGGGGCTCGATCACAGGACCCTGGGATCATGACCTGAACCAAAGACAGACGCTTAAGCTACTGAGCCACCCAGGCATCTCAACATTTAATTTTATATTTTTAATCTACTTTTAAGGGTTGTTATGTGGCAATATTGTCACAACACTCTTTCTACTCTAAAACTTATAAATTAAGGTGTCTGGAGTATTTCCAATCTTAAATTAAATGTTGGGCTCTCATTAAATTTCTTAATTTAGAGATATCTAACACTGAATTCTAATGTCCTTGTTTTTTTCATCTCCCGAATCCTTAAAGTTTAACATCATCCAAGATCTTAATCTCATTTCTATAGATTCATTATACACTTATTGATTCATTATTATGTCTTCCAAGTGAGCAGTTAACAGAGATCCGTGAGACCCAGCTCTGGCTTTATATGCTTGTGGCAAGACGGTCTAAAATCTCTGAAGAAAGGGAAGAAGCACTTTCTGCTGGGGTTTATCAGGGTAGACCACGATGTGGGAATTTAGGCTAAGTTGATCTTTAAGGTGGTTGGATTTAAATCATCTTTGTTTCTTAGCTCTGTGGTCGGTAGGTAGAAGATATCCCAGACAAAGTGAGTCATGGATCAGTGAAGGACATTGAGGTAGAAAATGTTAAGTGGTGTGTGGAGTTAGCACGTGGATCAGTTTAACTAACATAGAGAGTATCTGTAGTTACCATGGATGATACTAAAAAGATGTATGGAGGCCAGACTATAGAAGCTCTTGGAAATGAGACCAAAGATATGGGTGCATTGGCATGTAATGGTGAGGTGGTATTTTATCCAAATCAAGTTGGTAACAATGAGCCGTCAGAGTTAGAGTGGGGAAAGGTTTCTGATGTCAGGCAGTTGAGTAAAGGGCCAGAGCTAGAGTAGCCACCATGAGAATGGAAAGATAGGCATGGATACGAGTGAGATTTTGAAGGAAAAATCAGATTTGCCAATTAATTGGTTTGGGGCCTGAGATGACATAAAGGAAATAATGATGACTCAGAATTATAATACAATTTATCAGGAGACTAGGGATGACATTTACGTATCATAGAGATCAGGAGGAAGAGCCAGGTAATTGTTATTGTTGTTTTAATTTAAACATGTTGAATTTGAGGTGGGGGTATCATAACTACACAATGAGACAATAAAATTTAATATGGTACTGGTGTTAAAATAACTGCATTAAACTTTTACTATTTAACTTCTGATTTGTAGCGCTCCTAAAACATTTCTGTCTACAGAGTTCTTCCACACACGTAACAATTTATGTAGTGTATTTTTTTTTTGTAGGTTTGACTGCTGTCATCTATTAAGCTTCTTATATATCTGATTGGTTTAAAATTTCACTAACTTTCCACACTTTTTTTTAGAGTTGCTGTGGTTTTGGCACAAAATACTGAATGCAAGAGTAATCAATGCCAGGAAAATTTTATTTTATACTTTCTTAGCTACCTTACCTGTTGACAACATTAAAAAAAAATTATCACCAGCATTTTATTATCTGATTATTGGAGTCATTCTGGCTTTTATTATTATGTGATATGCATTACTCTAGGCTATCGGTACCATCCGTGGCTGAAAATTTAGAATGTTCTACCGATAGTTACTTTAATTTCTCTCTAGTTCTGCAATTGTATGCACACATTTGCTTATATATACTTTTCTTCCAGAAGTAGAACCCAAAAGTTCTAGAAAGCTATTATGGAAATTAATGGAACTTAAATGAGATTCTATAAACTGCTGCTTAGTGTAGGGAAATTGGAGAGATTTGGGGATACAAAAAAGGCTAGTGCAGTGGGATTTAAAAAGAGGAATAAACGATCAGAATACACAAGCTGCTTTTCCAAGGCTAAACTATGAATACCCAACTAGTAGCTTGGTGCATGAGAAAGATGTGTCTTTAGTAGTAAAATGAAGTATTTAAAAAAGTGTTTATTCTTGTAGTATGTAGTAGATTTTCATCTTTAGAATATTGGGCTAAAAGTTTTTTTACTTAATGAGAATTAATATCCTAATTAGTTCTCAGATTTACTGGTAAAGAAAGGAAAGTAAAATCTGAAGAATTATGATGTTAAGCTGTAAATCTGCTATGAGGCATCTCTTAGATGTCATCTAAGATGACAGTCTTAGATCCTAACACCAGAAATCTATTCGGGAAAATCAGCAATTTGGAACGATCTTTTCTCTCTGTAAAAACCAACATTTCTTCCAACATGCATTTGACACAGTGTACTCTTCACTAGCTCTTCAGACTTATGTTCTTAGGGTAAGAACTGACTGTGAAATTTTTAACGTAAAGAAAAGGTTAGATACAAATTTAGGAATTGTCATTCTGATATGACACATCCCTCTACATGAACAGAAATTAAGAAATGACCACAGCCTAATATCAAATAGCTAATCTCCTGTTGTTTTAAATACATTAAAAGAGTTTGTTACTTTTCTAAAGGCGGTTGTTTTCCATCATGGAAGTTCAGCATTACCCATCAGTTTTTAAAAATAAGTGACCACCTGTTTCTCCTATGCTGCTTCGTGCAGTCAGGCTGTCATCCCTACATTCCATATGACTTCACTGATTTGGAGAGAAAATGATGATTCCTACTTTGGCCTTAAAATTAGAACTTTGGAGTCAGAAAAGATTTTTGAAGTAATTCAGTCAACATCCTTTGACTCAGAGATAAAAACATAAATTCCATTAAGCCATTAAGTTAAGTGACTTGTTCATTGTTTATGGGCTTGTTTATGACCTAGATCTTTGGGCTTCTACTCCCCAGTCTATCCTCTCTCTTAAACCACAGCTGCTTTTTAGAGACTTTTTGTTGGATGAGGGGGATGGACAACCACATAAAACAGCAATAACTAGCAGCAAGAAACTTCTAGGTGAAGATAGAGAAAAAAAATCATTTCATCGGAGTTCACCTCGATTTGGAAGAAACAAGCACACTTCTGATTTCTTAGACACACTCAAGAATTATATTTCAGGGGCGCCTGGGTGGCTTACTTGGTTAAGCATCAAACTCTTGATTTTGGCTCGGGTCATGATTTCAGGCTTCTCCTCGGCTGTGTGCTGGGCGTTGAGCCTGCTTAAGATTTCTCTCTCTCCCTCCACTTCTCCCCCCCACCTTGCACACACACACTCTCTCTCTCCCTCTTAAAAAAAAATTATATTTCAAATCAGCTAGTCATTATTTAAGAAAATGTTATGTGTAAGCACTTATTTTTTTCAAAAATGCAATTATGCTATTCTGTGGAAATCTACAAAAAATAACACTATAAAAATTATGTTTTGTTACTTAGTAAAAAAAATTAAACAGTTCCTGCTGTCTCCTGTTACTATTTTTGTACTTTAATAAGCTTTTCACCAACCATGACATTATCTGTACAATACTGGAGTCTTGGCTTGGGATCGGTCCGTGATGGGATTCCTCATGTATGCTACCTGGTTCTCTAACCAGCAAGCTTCCTTGTATGAGCTTTCTTTGAAATTTTTATATAGCAAACAGTGCTACTAGCAAGGTTTATGTGAACTTTATTAGTTTTATCACTTTAAATCCAGCTATTCAGATACCATACTATATGTTTCAGCTTGCCCAGTTAGAGAATACATGCATGGGCTTTTTTTTTTTTTTTTTTTGCTTTGCTTTCAGTGTTCTTTATATCCCTTTTCCATAAAAACTTAATTGTAGGGGCGCCTGGGTGGCGCAGTCAGTTAAACGTCTGCCTTTGGCTCAGGTCATGATCCCAGGTTCCGGGGATCAAGCCCCACATAGGGCTCCTTGCTCAGCGGGAAGTCTGCTTCTCTCTCTACCCTCTGCCCCTTCCTTTGTGCATGCTCTCTCTCTCTGTGTCAAATAAAAAAAAAAATTGTGTGCTAAAAACAGGTATTTTATTCCTAAGTTAGGTGCTAGCCATATTTAGTTCAGAACCCTGCTTCCTGAGTTTATTCCCATGATTCAGGAAGTCATGTAATAATTCAGATCAACAAGTGTGCTTATTCAAAGCATTTTCCAAGTAAGTCAAGTTTCACTGTCTGCATAGCCTAGTTACACTGAAAGGCAGAAACTGTTATTTTTCTAAAAACACCTTCAGCAATTAAAAAAAAAAAGGTAAGCTTCCATCTAGATGGGATTTACATTGTGGAATATTTAAAGTCACTAATTGAATTTGCTAAAGAGGATCCATTGTAATTGATTCCAGAAAATAATCACGTCAGCATTCAGTACTCTGTTAAGAAGTGTCCACCTGGTGCTGCTAGCACAGAACATAGAGCTGACTTTGCCTTTGTCATGAGCTGGCTCTTCAGGTGCTTTTACTTAAAGCACGTAATACCTGTTCATGTGAAGTAAAATGGATGAAATTTGACTACTAGCTACATGGAGTTCTGTTACGGATGGTTTTTTTTAGATTCTGAACCTCCTATTTAAAAGAATATGAATGTTTATATAAATGAAGATTTGATAGATACAAACAGTTTTTTGAGGAAATAACATGACCTTATTGCTCAAGAAATTAGCCTGCCCAGTAAGTTGCTAAAAATTTCCAGGGTTCATTGAAGCTTCAAGCCCCTTCAATTAGCAGGACTTAGATAAAAGTCTTTAATGTAATTCATTATATTGACAGGCTAGTGATAAAAAGTGTAGGTTATAATAAGGGTTTCTGTAAAACTAAAGGTGTTCAGCAGTTGATTTGCAAATTGTTCATTTGTTCATCCAGTCATATATTTAACAAATATATATATTAAGTGTCTTCTATGTGTTAGGCATTGTTGTAGGAGCTGAGGATACAATAGAGGCAAAGCCTCGCCCTCTAGAATTTTACAAAGGTGGGCAGGGTAAACAACTATATGATGTCATATAGTGATAACTGCTAAGAAGAAAAAGTTGTGTAAGAGGACAGAATGGCAAGGTCGTGTGTGGTGGGGGACAGGTGCCATTTCAGATAGGATGGTAAAAGGACTCTGATAATTTGACATTAGAGCAGAGGCTTGAAGGAGAGAGCAAGACAGGTGATTATCTGAGGGAAGAATATGCCAGGCAAGGGGAATGGTGCCTCCAGAAGTGCTGGAGATGATCCTGCTTGTCCTATTCAAGGAGCAGTAGAAAAAGGGTATGAAACAAAGAGAATAAGGAGGGAGTGGCAGATGGGATCAGAAAAGCTAGCAGTGAGCTAGTTGTGTAGGGTCTTAGAGGCCAGGACGTACAAGTCAGGACTTCAGAGTGAGATAGAAAGCTATTGGACGGGCGCCTGGGTGGCTCAGTTGGTTAAGCAACTGCCTTCGGCTCAGGTCATGATCCTGGAGTCCCGGGATCGAACCCCACTCAGGGCTCCTTGCTCAGCGGGGAATCTGCTTCTCCCTCTGACCCTCCCCACCTTGTGCTCTCTCTCTCTCAAATAAATAAATAAATAATCTTAAAAAAAAAAAAAAAAAGAAAGCTATTGGAAGGTTTTCTGGCTTCTCTGTGGAGAACAGATAAGAGTGGAAGCAGGAAACCAGTTGGGTGAACATTGGAATTGACTGAAAAAAGAAGATGATGGTATGGGGACCAGAGAATGGAGTAGATGTAGTGAAAAGTGGCAGATAGTTTTTGATGGCAGAGCCAACAGGATCTCTTGACATATTGGATATTGGGTTTTCAGTGAAGGATATTCAAGGATGACGCCAAGATTTCTTGGAAGGTTGGAGAAGTCATACTCAAGACTGGTAAGAGAATGACTAGATTTGGGTGAAGCACCTCAAGAGTTGTGTTCTGGGGATTTGATGTTTCAAGATGCCTGTTCATTATGCAAGTAGAGAGAATCCATAGACAGTGAGATAAAGGAGTCTGGAATTCAAGTGGTGGTCAGGGCTTAGGATATACATTTGGGAACTTAGGATGTAAGACTGGAGTGTGTTCGAGAAGAGGTCCCAGCCAGAAACTTGAATGCGCCAAAATTTAGAGATTGGGAAGATCTGAGGAAGAGCCAGCAAAGGAGCCTGAGAAGGAACAGCCAAATAAAGCAGGAGGAGAACCTGAAGGTATTTCAGCTTTATATATGTTTCTCTTTTTAAAGATTTTATTTATTTATTTGACAGACAGAGACACAGTGAGAGAGGGGACACAAGCAGGAGGAGTGGGAGAGGGAGAAGCAGGCCTCCCGCGGAGCAGGGAGCCCGACGCAGGACCCTTGGGATCATGACCTGAGCCGAAGGCAGACGCTTAACGACTGAGCCACCTAGGCGCCCCTATATATGTTTTTCTTGTAAATCTGCTAGGTTAATTTCTGAATCTGAGAGGAGACGCGTTACTGAGATGTCACTAGTTATATATATGAGATACTTCCAAAGCCGAATGGCCAAGAACAGAGATGTTGACGGTCTTTCCTCCTCCCTCCTTCGCCATCTGCAAAACTACCCTCGAAATGTTTTTTTAAATGTTTCCCATCATAAAAGCTTTATGGGAAATTGAGATTAGCTAGACATAAAACATGCCCTGGGGATGGTTACAGGAGATAAGAAATGTTTACAAATAAATACAATGCTAGATTTCCCTTAAGGCACTGGTGTGCTTCTTATGCTAATGAGAACTGTGCAAATCATTTTGTAGCCTTTTTAGCCCTGGCTGCGGAGAAACTCAGGGAGAAACCTGATACTCAGTTTCTAATAATTATGTTAAAAATGAAGGTTGACATGTTTACATTCTGGTTTTTATGTTTTTAGTTTCTACTTTTATTTGTATTTTTTATGACCTCATTATTACTCAGGGAGAAACCTGATGCTCAGTTTCTAATAATTATGTTAAAAAATGAAGTTTGACGTGTTTACATTCTGGTTTTTATGTTCTTAGTTTCTACTTTTATTTGTATTTTTTTATGACTTCATTATTATAAGCTGTCTCAAATCCTCTCTGGAAATGAATGGTGATATTAAGAAAAATGTAAATGTCTGGGCTGTGAGAGTTAAGAGGACAGATAAATTACCTTTTTTTTTTTTTTTGTCATCCTCATTTCTTCCTCCTCAAATTTCTTGAGTTTCATTTAAGTTACATCTATCTATTGCATGTGAACATTTTAGAAAGAAGTTAAGTAAAGCATATACAGAAGTAAAAACAGTAATTTTTTAACCCACACATGTGGTGTTATCCCCTGCCATTCAGAGATTTCCAGATAGAATCTTCCTACTTTTTCTTAAATGTTCCACATCATCCTAGAGTCTCTCGCTGCTTATTTTAAAACATGCCTGTTGCTTGCAATGGAAAGTAAATGAAACAGAGTGGGATGAGGGAAGAAGTGGATTTGGAGACCGAAGAATTCTAGTATTATAATTCTAGTTTTATAATATTACTTAGAAATCTATAAATTTTATACTATTATTTAGAAATCTATGAATTCTAACGGCTGTTACCATAGCAATCCTGATATTTTCAGTAATCACAGTCCCTGAAATACGAACTGTAAGATCTATAAAACCAAATGTTCCAAAGTGTATAGACTCATATTTTCTCATTTGACCACAAACATGGTGTGTTAATTGGATCATGCCAATTCTCCTGTGATCACAGACTGTCCCCAGATTTCAGTGCCTCACAGCAATAAATAGGTGTATTTCTCCCTCATGTTTTGGCTGCATGTTAGCTGTGGCCTTGCCCGATGTGGGTTCTCATCCTGGAACCCAGGCTAGGGGATCACCCCCGAGCCGGGAGGGGACATGAGGGAGACTGTGGCAGAGGGAAAAGGACAGCAGCGGAACCACAGAAAGGCACTTAAGGGTTCCCCTTGGAAGTTGCACAGACTGTTTCCACCCACTTTTCTTTGACCAAGTGTGATGTCAGTGGGGTTGGTTAAATTAATCATGTCACAGGGAGGGACAGTAAGTACCTGGGACAAAACTATATTCTACCACCCCGAGGGTAGGGTAGCGTGAATATGATTATGATATTATTAAGGAACCAGTATTAGGATTCTCACAGGATATTTTAGTTTTAGGAGCCTCATGGTAGGAAAGGTTAGAATTTTAACAAAGAGTAATTTTAGCGCCCTTTCTAGAAATTTGTGGTGGTTAGTGATGTCTTAAGTAAAATTAATTCTTGTCAGAGAAGGACATTTTACAGTTAGATATCTCTACTCCCGTGTTTGAGTGGCGATTGATATGTTGGGTGCCAAATTCTTTTTTTTTTTTCAGTGAGAAGTGTATCAGATGAAGACAGTGATAATGTTGGGCAACCCAATGAGTACGACCTCAATGACAGCTTTCTAGATGATGAGGAAGAAGAATATGAGCCGACAGATGAAGATTCTGACTGGGAACCAGGACAGGAAGACCAAGAGAAGGAAGATGTGGAAGAGCTTTTGAAAGAAGCAAAAAAGTTTATGAAAAGGAAAAAGTAACTTTTTTCTGCGATAATATATGGCTCACAGTTATTCTTTATGGAAAAAATTCAGGTACTAAGGAGGCACTTAAGCGATAATTGTTTTCCTTCTTTTGATAGTTATGACTTTGCTATAGACTCTGTGCAGATGAAACATTGATATATCAACCTTTGATGCAGTGGATGGAATTTGTTTTGTTGCCTTGCTTTTTCTACCCTATTTAAAGCATCTAGAAATAGGAAGCAGAGTTAAAGAGAAATAATTGATATTTTTCATGTACTTTGTGTGTTGGTAATAAAAAGTAAAAGCCATGGGTCGCACAAAACTTTGACCTTGTTTCTTTTTTCCAAAGATTTTATCTTTATAGAATACTAGGCAAGCAGAACTAGGCAAATTACACCATGTGTGGGAGAGCATGCGTCTTTTATTGCTGTTGAGGTAATTCTTCAAGCAGAACCAGGCTTTAGAAAGTGACAGCCATCATATAATGGCTATTATTTTTCTAGTACCCTGGGTATGAGCTTTACAGTTTCATTTACTACTTTTGTTCTTTGAAACTTGGGGAAATGAGTATCAAATGGATACTGAAAATATATTCAACTAGACCGTAGAAATGTCCACCCTGCAGGCGATGTTATTTTGTGCCCCACATCTGTAATTTACTCTGTGTCTGAATTTAAAAAGAAAAAGTCAAAGGATTTGACTTTTTCTTTTTCAAACTAAAGTCCTGCATGGTTATTTTAACTCTCGGTGTTCCTTCTTTACATGAAAAGATCTAGAAATGATTTTTGACCATCGTTTTCTCAGATGACATTAGGTTCTTTTGTCCTCAGATGAAGGCAGCAAGCTGTCTGCTAGTATTCAAGATTTCAGGAAGAAACCCTTTATTCTCCAGTTTTATGAAGTATATCTCTGTTCTCAAACTACTTCAGGCCCTGTAATACTCTTCATTTTAGGTGACTTAGAATTTTTGAAATCCAGTTTAGAATCTTTAATAGCAGTTGAGTATGGGAACACCACAATAGGTACAATATTGAAATCATAAATCGCTAAACCAAAAGTGTCCTAATATTCATCTAACACTAATATTTTCTATTCTAAGAGAACCTAGGAATTTACATTTTAAAAGAGCAAGACAGCTTATAATTGTTTTCTTAGTGTTTTTGAATGTCTTTCAAAGTTAATTATGTAATATTAAAATTAACTTAAACTGGCCAGGACAAGATAAATATTTCTTTAGACTGTTATTACCTATTATTCTGACTTTGCCTCTGTTATTTAGGAACTGATTTGCCCCTTGTAATGTCCCTTTAGTCTTGGGGGCTTGACAGACCTATGAAAAAAATCTTTGAACTTATTTTCATCCCTGCACTGACTTAATCCTTAAAGGGTTGGTTTTTTTTTTAAGATTTTATTTATTTATTTGACAGAGAGAGAGAGACACAGTGAGAGAGGGAACACAAGCAGGGGGAGTGGGAGAGGGAGAAGCAGGCTTCCCGTTGAGCAGGGAGTCCGATGTGGGGCTCGATCCCAGGACTCTGGGACCATGACCTGAGCCGAAGGCAGCCGCTTAATGACTGAGCTACCAGGCGCCCCTTAAAGGGTTTTTTAATCCACTCATAGATATACCCCAAAACAATTGAAAATGTGTTCACACAAAAACTTGTACATAGTGTCGTAGAGGCATTATTTATAATAGTCCATAAGTAGGGGCGCCTGGGTGGCTCAGTTGGTTAGGTGTCTGACTCTTGATCTCAGCTCAGGTCTTGATCTCAGGGTTGTGAGTTCGAGCCCTGTGTTGGGCTCCACACTGGGCCTGGAGCCTACTTAAAAAATAAATAAACAAATATAAATAAAATTGGTATAATAGTCAAAAAGTGGAAACATCTAAATGCCTATCGGTTGATGAATGGATAAACAAAATGTGGCATATCTCTACAATGGAATATTTTGGCAATGAAAAAGAACTGAAGGATTGATACATGCTATAACATGGATAAACCTTGAAAAGGTTGTGCTAAGTGAAAGAAGCCAGCCGCAAAAGGCCACATATTATATGAACCAATTTATATGAAATATCCAAAAGAGGCAAACCCATAGAAAGTAGATTAGTGGTTGCCAGGGGCTGGAGGCGGCAGGGACAGGGGTTGACTGCTAATGGGTACAGGGTCTCTTTAGGATTGTTAAAAATGTTCTAGAATTAGTGGCGATGGTTGCACAACTCTGTAAATATACTAAAATCCACTGACTTGTACACTTTCAAAGTGTGGATTTTATGGTATGGGGATTATGTGTTTTAATAAAGCTGCTATAAAAAGAGAATGCAAAAGGTGACACTAGTCTTTCAGAAAGAAAAAAGCATTTATCAGAATATGTTCTTCTTGGCAATAATGTGATAGCTCATGGTAACTTTTTTTTAGAGTGAGGAGGGGGCCGAGGGAGAGGAGAGAGAGAATCTCAAGCAGGCTCCACACCCAGTGTGGAGTCCAATGTCAGGCTCATTCTCACAACCCTGAGATCATGACCTGAGCTGAAATCAATAGTCAGATGCTCAACTGACTGAGCCACCCAGGCACCCCTCATGGTAGCTGTTTTTAAGGATAGTCTGATGTGGCTTCCATAATCATCCCAAAGACACTTTTCAGTATAATATATAAATATATGACTTAATTGACTCGAGTGTAATGAGCATTTGCCACTTGGAATTGGACCATATTTAAATCTGAGACTTAGAAAAGAGAGGGAAAACTGATGACATTAGCTTGTCAGTGGGTACAAGAGCAATGTTAACAAAAACTTGATTCTTTAAATAATTGCCATCCTAAACAGTGTATAGGAGTCAACTCTCCCTATCATGGGTGTTCACAGAATTTAAACTATATCTCAGCCAAAAATTGTACATAGACATTTCTTACCTATGTGCTTAATTCTGAAAGCAAATGTTTTTTGTTGACTTCTTGTTGGAGTCGGGGGGCTGGTTCTGGGGCCTTGGGAAGCTGAGACATGAAGATTTTTCAGTGACACCCAGACCCTGCTTCTGTTTTTGCCCTAGGTTGAGGATGGCCTTGTCAGTACTGTTGGTTTCTAGAACTGGAAGATCCCTAGTGGTTGTAAACATTCATTTCATGTAATTGAAAGCAAATGGATTGTGAGCATAATTTTCCAAGAATGGTGACATAAAGCTGGGAATAAATAGACAGTGACTTCCTTCCAATTAATGTGTGCAGAGTTCAGTGTCACCAACACACCCAGTGGTGGGAGAAACCACACACTGATATGCTGCATCCAACCCTGCTCTGTTGAGACCACCTTGTTCCTGTTAAGTTCTGTTTCTTGAGTAGGGATCTATAATGGGGGGTGTGTGTGTCTGTTGTCTATTGTATGTATTTTCCTCCTGCCAATCTGTAAACCATACTTACAAAGCTCCTCTATAATAGATACTGAAAGAAAAGGGATAAAGATGAATTACTGCTGACATTATGACTGGCTATCCTAATACAGTGTACATAAACTTTATTATCATAAGCAACCACAGTTGTGCTCTGTTGTGCCCAAGACCCTGTCTAGCACAGAACAGCATAGAATCCCTGTTTCCATGTGCTTACAATCTATTCGGGACATTGGATATTTATTCATTTAGTAACAATGGCTACTGCATACTATGGGGGTTACAAGGGAGAAAAAGACATGGGGTCCACAGTCACAGAGCTTACAAAGGCAATGAGGCAATGAGCCAAATAACAATGGATAAAATGGGACTAGTCAGAGAAGGGAATGCTGGATTATAATCTAAATATCCTGTCTTGCTGCATATTGAAATACAGTCTCAACTTGAGGAAAAGCCTTTGTATGATGGAGTTGCAAGCTGAATTCGTAGATTTTTTCATAGAACACAATTTTTACTTGAAAGAATGATTAGAATAGCAGATATGCTATGGTTATTCAAATTTGAGTATTTGGTAGGTGTTTCCTCAAAAAAGTACAAAGCGAGCCTGTTTTTCAAGGAAAACAACAGTATTGTAATTGTAAAACTTGAGCTTTCAAGCAAAAATTAGAATTTTGGAAAATCTGTATTTGTCACTGTGAGCTTGATAGCTTCCCAAAGCTTTCAAAACTGTTATGGTAATATAATACAATGAAGTGTGTCGACATTTGGAAGAGCTGCAGAAGTGAGCAAGCCAGTATTTTCCAAATGACCAGCATGTGTTACAAAATCAGGGATGGGTAAAATCCATTCAAAGCAAAAGGTAGACCAATGGAATTTAATGTAACAGAGCCTGTCTGTATGGTTCATTAATTTAGTTTCAGACTACATATTGTAAATAACCTTTCAGAAGCTACCATTTTTCTAACTTTGGTGACATATCAAAAATAATATCCATAATTATCTGAAAAGCCTATTAAAATACTCCTTCCTTTCCCAAGTACATATCTGTGTAAGGTCTACTTTTCTTTTTTGTTTTTTTTTTT